AGTTGTGGATGAGTGGAACAAACTCCCGAGTACAGTTATTGAGGCTAAAACATTGTGTAGTTTTAAAAATAGGTTAGATAAATACATGAGTGGGTGTGGGTGGGTGTGAGTTGGACCTGACTAGCTTGTGCTGCTGGGTCTGGTGCAGTGCTCCATCCTTGAGTGGAGATGATCAGACTTTGTGGGTCATTGGGCTAATCCAGGTTGGGGGGGGTGTCATTGGTCTAATCCTGGGGGGGGGGGAGACATTGACCTGCTCCGCATAGGTCAGTAGGCCTGTTGCAGTGTTCCTTCTGTCTTATGTTCTTATGAAATAGACGACTTTCGGGCCGGACGATCACTGAGGGACCACTGTAATGGAAATCAAATTAATCCGTTCCTGACACCCCAAAGTATGAAAAAAAAAAATTTTTACCACATGAAATATTAATTTTAATACACACTAACTGAAGAGCACATGTACAATTACATGACACTTACCTTTACTGAAGATCTGGTGATGACTGATGGGATGGGAGGAGGGGAGAGTGTGGATGGTATTAATGTTTAGAAGGGGAATGCCCTTCCATTGAGGTGGCAAGTCCTTTTCTGGGGTTACTTCCCTTCTTTTAATGCCACTAGGACCAGCTTGAGAATCACTGGACCTCTGTCACACAACATATCTGTCCATAGAGGCCTGTACCTCCCGTTCCTTTATGACTTTCCTAAAGTGGTTCACAACATTGTCAGTGTAATAGTCACCAGCACGGCTTGCAATAGCTGTGTGAGGGTGATTTTCATCAAAAAAGGTTTGCACTTCAAGCCACTTTGCACACATTTCCTTAATCTTTGAAGTAGGCAACTTCCTCAATTTCTCTATCCCCTCCTCTGGAGCAGTTTCCTCAGGTCTGGCCTCTTGCTGTTGAAGATGATCTTGCAGCTCATCAGTGGTTAGTTTTTCATTGTCCTCCTCCACCAACTCTTCCACATCCTCCCCACTAATCTCCAACCCCAAGGACTTCCCCAATGCCACAATTGATTCCACAACTGGAATAGGCTTTTCAGGGTTAGCCTCAAATCATTCAAAATCCCTTTTGTCTACATATTCTGGCCACAGTTTCTTCCAAGCAGAGATCAAGGTCCTCTTAGTCACTCCCTCCCAAGCCTTATTTATAATGTTTACACAATTGAGGATGCTAAAGTGATCTCTCCAAAACTCTCTTAGAGTCAAATGAGTTTCTGAGGTCACTACAAAGCACCTTTCAAACATGGTTTTGTGTAGTTTTTTTTGAAGTTTGCAATGACCTGCTGGTCCATGGGCTGCAGGAGAGGAGTGGTATTAGGAGGCAAAAACTTGACCTTAAGGAACCTCATGTCCCCAGAAAGTCGCTCTGCCACGTCTGAAGGATGACAAGGAGGCACTTAAGGTCCAATTTATTTTTCAGGAGGTAATTTTTCACAGTGGGGGCAAATGCATGTTGTAACCAGTCATAGAAAAGGTCTCTAGTGACCCATGCCTTACTGTTTGCCCTCCACATCACACACAAATTAGCCTTTAAGACATTGTTTTTCCTGAACACTCATGGAGTTTCAGAGTGATACACCAATAAAGGCTTCACTTTGCAATTACCACTAGCATTAGCACACATTAACAGAGTAAGCCTGTCTTTCATAGGCTTATGTCCTGGGAGTGCCTTTTCCTCCTGAGTAATGTAGGTCCTGCTTGGCATTTTCTTCCAAAACAGGCCTGTTTTGTCACAAACATTTGTTCAGGTTTCTATTCTTCACTGTCTATGTACTCCTTGAATTCGTGCACATATTTTTCAGCTGCTTTTTGGTCCGAACTGGCAGCCTCACCATGCCTTATCACACTATGTATGCCACTACGATTCTTAAATCTCTCAAAGCAACCTTTGCTGACCTTAAATTCACTCGCATCACCACTAGTTGCAGGCATTTTTCTAATTAAATCGTCATGCAACTTCCTAGCCTTTTCACGTATGATCGCTTGCGAGATGCTATCTCCTGCTATCTGTTTTTCATTTATCCACACCAATAACAGTCTCTCAACATCTTCTATCACTTGCGATCTCTGTTTCGAAAACAAAGTTGCACCTTTGGCAAGAACTGCTTCCTTGATTGCCATTTTCTTGGCCACAATATAGCGATGGTTGACTGGGGTTTTGTGTACAACCGGGCCAGCTCGGAGACACGTACTCCACTTTCATACTTAGCAATGATCTCTTTCTTCATATCCATAGTAATTCCCACCCTTTTTGCTGTAGGATTGGCACTAGAAGCTTTCTTGGGGCCCATGGTGACTTATTTTGCAGGTGCAATCACTAAAAACGCTGTGATATGAAATGTTCCGAATGTATGCTTGGATGCGACCGCGGTGGCTGGCTTGTAAACACTGGCACCCACGGAACAAGTGAGGCGGGCTCACGCCGCACGTGGACACGTCTTGAATGAATCGCGTTGAGTGAGTTTTTTAGCGCTAGCCGAGGCAAAATTTTTGCATTAAAATGTATCGCTAGGCAGATTTAACGTTATGTGATGTGTTCGTTAGGCGATGGCCCACTGTATATTGAAATACAGTGGTACCCCAAGTTTCGTACAGCTCCCAACTCAAACAATTATGTAGGTGTATTATTGTAAAAGCTTTTCTAAGTGTATTTTTGGGGTCTGAAAAGGACTAATCTAATTTATATTATTCCTTATGGGAACAAATTCGTTTGGTAACGGACTCGAACAGCCTTCTGGAATGAATTTTGTACGAAACTCGGGGTACCACTGTAGTTTGTCCTGCTGCTGAAACAGATTAATGGCATTTCAATTAATTTAAATGAGGAAAATCGATTTGATATACGAGCAAATTGAGTTACGAGCTAGGTCACGGAATGGATACAACTCATAAGTCAAGGTTCCACTGTCTTTATCTAACCTATTTTTAAAAATACATAACATCATAGCTTCTATGACAACACTCGGGAGTTTGTTCCACTCATCCATAACTCTATTACCAAAGCAATGCTTTCTTATATCCTTTGTGAATCTGAATTTTTCCAACTTAAAGCCATTGCTGCAAGTCCTGTCTAGGCTAGATATTTTTAGCACATTATTTACATCTTTTATTAATTCCAAATTTCCATTTATACGCCTCAACCATATCCCCCCTAATTCTATGCCTTTCTAGAGAGTGCAGATTCAGGGCCCTCAGTCTAACCTCATAGGGAAGATTTCTGATACATGGGATCAACTTTGTCATCCTCCTTTGTATGTTTTCCAGTGCATTTATATCCATTCTGTAATACGGTGACCAGAACTGTGCAGCATAATCTAAACGAGGCCTAACTTCTATTATTTATACTTCCTGATATGAAGCCAAGGATTCTGTTAGCTTTATTGCAAATATTATGCACTGTTGTCTTGATTTCAGATTACTGATAACCAGAACTCCTAAATCCTTTTTGCAATCAGTAATATTAAGATCTACATTATTTAGTTTATATGTGCCATGGCTATTTTCCTGTCCAACTTTTAGAACTCTGCATTTGTCTATATTAAACTGCATCTGTCACTTCTCTGACCACTGCATCAGTCTTTTCAAATCACCCTATAGTGTTCTAATGTTCTCATTAGAATGAACTGGACTGCTTATTTTGGTATCATCAGCAAATTTGCTTATGTCACTATTTATTCCCTCATCTATGTCGTTTACGTAAATTGTGAACAACGGGCCCAACACTGACCCCTGAGGAACACCGCTTGTGATGTGCCCCCATTCTGAGTTCTCCTCATTTATGCAAACTCTTTGCTGCCTATTTGTCAACCATGCCTCTACCCAGGAAAAAAATTTTCCTCCTATTCCGTGTGCCTTAAGTTTCCTCAATAGCCTCTGATGTGGAACTCTATCTAAAGCCTTATTGAAGTCCATATACACAATATCATATTCAATACCATGATCTACCTCCTCAAATACCTTAGTAAAAAAAAGTTAGTAATGCGTAAGATAGGAATGCCCGTGTAAAACTGTGCTGAGATTCATTAATCAATTTATGCTTTTCAGGATGGCTATGAATTGTCTTGGCATTTAGTGATTCCATAAGTTTTTCCACCATGGAGGTAAGGCTTTTTGGTCTATAGTAAGCTAAGGGCCTGTCACCTCCCTTGTAAACAGGTATTACATTTGCCATTTTCCACTAGTCTGGTACTATGCCAGTTTGTAGTGATATATTGAAAAGATTAGCTTGAGCGCAAGTGTTTTAGATCAGAATGAGTGAAGACAGGTAGCTTTTAGGTTTTGATGTACTATAGAAGTGTGAACAAAGTAACATTTATGAAGGGATTCAGGACAACCAGTTGGCAGGATCTGAATCCAAGAGGTAGGAAGTACAATGCCTGCCCTTGAAAAGAAGTTGGGGTGGTTGGTACAATGCAATGTCTGCACACTCCTGGCAAGACAGCTACTGAATGAAAGATACTGAATGTACATAACCTGTATTACCTGTTAATGGTTTTAAGGCTCAAATCCTCTATTGCTCAGTCTCAGACCAGGTATGCTAAATTGCAAAGGAAATATTACAAGAACAACTATCAAGAAACATACAGGAAAGCAACCATAAATGTATTGTAAGCATAAACAGAAGTTTGTAAAATTTTTATGGTCGTGAAATAGGAGAAAAAATCAGCAATTCAGATGTAGTGCAAAACATTTACCAGGCTTCTGTTTTACACTCAAGACAGGGCAGTAGCACTTACATGGATGGCTGCTGTTTACCCACATTTCTTTATACATATGAACAAGGCTTCAAAATAGACGTACAGAAAAACGAGGCTCTTACATTAACAATCTTTGTCAGAGGCAATAAACTGAATGCATAATTTACATAACAAACATCCTCCGTAACTACATTTATTCTTATTTAAAACAATGGAATTTTGGAATCTGCATTCCTTTGGCATTCACATCATAAATTAAAAATATTTGAAAATTTTAAAGCAAAATATAAAAGGCAGAATTACTCAACACTATAAAATAAAGAATTGAATAGAAGATAATGATTATCTGATGATCAATGATATATCTGATGGTAACCTGTTCTTTAATTAAGGTAGCAAATTTTGCACAAATGGTCCTTCATGCATTTGAGAGAGACTGAAGTGCCTTTAACATTTTGATACTTGTTAATTTCAGTTAGGTTAAGATGGAAAAAAAAAAAAAAAAGTTGCTTATGCCTGGCAGTGTGGGGCACACTGACATTTCGAGCATGAATATTTTTACAAACTGTAAATAAATTGAAAAGGATGGGTTGGATAATAATTATTGCAGAAGTTGATACAAACCTGTTCTCTGAGTCAGGAGAGATAAGAGGTGTGGTTGGTGTCGAGGAGCCTGGTCTGAAGAATGTATCAACGCCCTCAGAAATGTCATGGTCTTCTTCGACTAGATCTGCACGACCCATGGGTCGCGTTGGTGCCCGAGTCTTGACTCTTCGTGGTCGGGCTTTACCAAGGTGCTGAAGCTGACCACAACTGCTTGGTAATTCAGAAACACTATCCAGTGATTCAGCTGTAATATAAGAATGAAGCATTATTTGATATGATTACCATTTATTGCAAACAGACTTTCTTCTTTATTTCTTAGAGAGAAACTTAAAACTCTTGAAAGCAAAAACATAAGATAATCTAAAAAAAAAAAAATAAAACAATTTCTAGAGGCAACTTAAAACAATAAATATAAACTTTTTTGCACAACTGATAAGTCAAATACCAAATTAATTTCAAAATTTTCACTTATGAAATGCTAAAATCCTGTCACTGAAGGATCCCTGCAGTGCAGTTAAGCTAAGACAATCCATAAAACCAGAATGCAATATAAAAGATAAGCATACCCTTTTCCTTGGGAGAGTCAATTACTGATTGGATGGTTGAAACAGATTCACTCCTGTCTACATCAGTCCAGCCAATTAGGTCTCCTGAAAACACACTGCATGCATAATCAACCCAACACCAGATGTAAACCAGTTTTAAGGTATCAGCAAACCTAGTTTCACTAAGATGTCTGCCTTACATGCAAAATTAAGCCATTGCTCCTACCTCTCGTCTACAATTTCAGAAGCAAAAGAATACAAGCCATTATATTGGAACATCTCCATGACAAGTGCATCTATTCTAGGTAAACGTAGATATCATCCAAACAAAATACATAGTCAAATGTATGGACCTGATGACCATACATTCTACTTCATTGAGTTTTACCTGAAAAACTAATACCAATATGTGACCATCAATAACACTTACTCTATTTTTCCTCGATATCAATGACCTACCAATATACAACAGTGGTATTTGCAGATGACTTTATCTCTCCTCTTCAATTCAAACATGACTCACCTAAACAATACAGTAAAAACTCAAATTCAACTCCCCCCTCAACACACACACCCATGCTCACACAATGGGACCCGACAAAATGCTGCCATGGATTCTGCAAGAGGGAGTAGATGCACTTTTTAACCATTAGCTAGGATTGTTGTGGATATAGGACAGTTGCTAGAAAGCCAGAAGACTGTGACTGGAGTCTATGAATTTAAGGGCAGACAGACATAAATGTTGAACTACAGAACAGTTTCTCTGACATGCATACTGTGCTAAGTAACAGAGATGAAAGTAGCAGAACACTTGGAGAGAACTAATTTCATAAACAATAACCGGCACAGGTTCAGAGATGGCAAATTTTATTTTGCCAAAACTATTGGAGCTCTATGACAAAGCATCAGATGTGGCATAGGAGAGAGGAATGAGTGGACTGAATTTTCTTTAACTAAGAAGGAATATAATCATGAATTCCACAAGAGGCTGTGGCAAAAACTCAAGGAGCAGGCAGAAATAACAGAATATACTACTGTGGATCAAACAGTACCTCATCTATGTCGTTTATGTATTCCCTCATCTACATAAACGACAAAGATGAGGGAATAAATAGCGACATAAGCAAATTTGCTGATGACACCAAAATAGGCCGTCCAATTCATTCTAATGAGGACACTAGAGCACTCCAGGATGATTTGAATAAACTGATGCAATGGTCGGAGAAGTGGCAGATGCAGTTTAAAATTGACAAATGCAAAGTTCTACATGTTGGACAGGTAAATAACCATGCCTCATATAAACTAAATAATGTACATCTTAATACTACTGATTGCGAAAAGGATTTAGGAGTTCTGGTTAGCAGTAAACTAACACCATGACAGCAGTGCATTAGTGTTTGCAATAAAGCTAACAGATTTCTTGGCTTCATATCTAGAAGTATAAATAATAGAAGTCCTCAGGCTGTTCTTCAACTCTATATATCCTTGCTTAGGCCTCATTTAAACTATGCTGCTCAGTTCTGGTCACCGTATTACAGAATGGATATAAATGCTGTGGAAAACGTACAGAGGAGGATGACAAAGATGATCCCATGTATCAGAAATCTTCCCTACGAGGATAGACTGAGGGCCCTGAATCTGCACTCTCTCGAAAGGCGTAGAATTTGGGGGGAGGATATGATCGAGGTGTATAAATGGAAAACAGGAATAAATAAAGGGGATGTAAATAGCGTGCTGAAAATTTCCAGCCAAGACAGGACTCGCAGCAATGGTTTCAAGATGGAAAAATTCAGATTCAGGAAGGATATAGGAAAGCACTGGTTTGGTAATAGAGTTGTGGATGAGTGGAACAAACTCCCGAGTACAGTTATTGAGGCTAAAACGTTGTGTAGTTTTAAAAATAGGTTAGATAAATACATGAGTGGGTGTGGGTGGGTGTGAGTTGGACCTGACTAGCTTGTGCTGCTGGGTCTGGTGCCATGCTCCTTCCTTGAGCTGAGGTGACCAGACTGGGTGGGTCATCGGGTTAATCGCCAAAGGGGGGGGAGGGTTCCTGCTCTGCCTGGGTCAGTAGGCCTGTTGCAGTGTTCCTTCTTTCTTATGTTCTTACCAAAAGGCAACAAAATGTTATTTTAGAGGAAGAGACTTAAGAATGGGAAAGAGTAACTAGCAAGGTTCCACTAGGATTGGTATTGTTTCTGGCTTATATGAATGACATTCCAGATGGGAATAAAGTAGATCTTCACGGGTATGTGGAACAGAAATCTTTCTCTGTAAGCCATGCGTGTCGTAAGAGGGTGCTTTACACTACAGTTTTTAAACTACAACATTAACACCCCTCCTTCAGAGTGCAGGCACTGTACTTCCCATCTCCAGGACTCAAGTCCGGCTTGCCGGATCCCTGAATCCCTTCATAAATGTTACTTTGCTCACATTCCAACAGCACGTCAAGTATTAACCCTTTGACTGTCGAAGGGCCAAATCCTGAAGTTGCTTCTGGTGTCGCAAAATATTCGAAAAAAAAAAAATTATTTTTTCTTATGAAATGATAGAGAATCTTTTCCCGATTGTAAAGACACCAAAAAAACGAAATTTGATGGAAAACTGACGGAATTACGCTCTCGCGAAGTTAGCGACTTCGGCGATATTTAAAAATCGGCAATTTCGCCCACTTTGAGCCCTATTTTCGGCTAATTCCGTTATTCCAGTCAACCAAACTCATAACTATTTTTTTCAGAACTCTATTTTTTCTATCGATTGAGTACAAGAAACTGCCCATTTACCGATTTCAACTACCCAATAACATGGTCAGAAATTTGCAATTTGGCCAATTTCACGAAAATTAAAAAATACGACAATTTCGAAATAAGGTCCAGAATGAACAATGCAGACATTCCTGGCTCTAAAATAACATTTTCTTTGTTCATCAGTCATGTCTCCAGGTCCCTGTGATATTACTCTTGCTTTTTTATTTTGAAATTTTATTCAAACAAAAAATAGAAGATTTACTGTTATGCAGACTACTGCAATACTGTAATAATTGTAAAAATTACATCAACCCATTCATGACTGCGTATTAGAATGGCTATTTGGACATTTATTGGACAATGACATCATTTGTTCACTTTTGAACATCGGCAAAAATCAAACATTTCCTGTACTTTGTGCTCCATTTCCAGGTTTTTTATAGTAAAATTAATCAAAAACACCCCATTTCTATAATTAGTTTCCATTCTATCAAATGAGACCAAGAAAACGAGAAACAACCCCAAATCTAACGAAAATAGCCCCAAAAATCGGCATTTTAATTAAAAAAAAAAGGTCGGAGTTTTTTTTTTTTCATTTGCCTGCGGGTTCCAGGGTTTTTTTTTTTGTGGGCACATGACCACACAGACCCATTCCCTTTAGTGTGGGGCCCACAGCTTTCTCCCCGCCTGATTTGAACGAAAAAATTTTTTGAGTATATATAGTCAAACACGGTACCTCGCAAAGTATATATACGGCCGCGACAGTCAAAGGGTTAAAAACCATTTGTCTCCATTCACTCCTATCAAACACGGTACCTCGCAAACGTATATATACGGCCGCGACAGTCAAAGGGTTAAAAAAACCCTTTTTTCCATTCCTCCCCATAAAACGTACGCATGCCCGCTGGAAAATCCAAGCCCTCGCACACAAAACCCCCTTTACCCCTCCCTCCAAGCTTTCCTAGGCCGACCCCTACCCCGCCTTCCTTCCACTACAGACTGATACACTCTTGAAGTCATTCTGTTTCGCGCCATTCTCTCTACATGTCCGAACCACCTCAACAACCCTTCCTCAGCCCTCTGGACAACAGTTTTGGTAATCCCGCACCTCCTCCTAACTTCCAAACTACGAATTCTCTGCATTATATTCACACCACACATTGCCCTCAGACATGACATCTCCACTGCCTCCAGCCTTCTCCTCGCTGCAACATTCATCACCCACGCTTCACACCCATACAAGAGCGTTGGTAAAACTATACTCTCATACATTCCATTCTTTGCCTCCAAGGACAAAGTTCTTTGTCTCCACAGACTCCTAAGTGCACCACTCACTCTTTTTCCCTCATCAATTCTATGACTCACTCTTTTTCCCTCATCAATTCTATGATTCACCTCATCTTTCATAGACCCATCCGCTGACACGTCCACTCCCAAATATCTGAATACGTTCACCTCCTCCATACTCTCTCCCTCCAATCTGATATCCAATCTTTCATCACCTAATCTTTTTGTTATCCTCATAACCTTACTCTTTCCTGTATTCACCTTTAATTTTCTTCTTTTGCACACCCTACCAAATTCATCCACCAATCTCTGCAACTTCTCTTCAGAATCTCCCAAGAGCACAGTGTCATCAGCAAAGAGCAGCTGTGACAACTCCCACTTTGTGTGTGATTCTTTATCTTTTAACTCCACGCCTCTTGCCAAAAACCCTCGCATTTACTTCTCTTACAACCCCATCTATAAATATATTAAACAACCACGGTGACATCACACATCCTTGTCTAAGGCCTACTTTTACTGGGAAAAAATTTCCCTCTTTCCTACATACTCTAACTTGAGCCTCACTATCCTCGTAAAAACTCTTCACTGCTTTCAGTAACCTACCTCCTACACCATACACTTGCAACATCTGCCACATTGCCCCCCCTATCCACCCTGTCATACGCCTTTTCCAAATCCATAAATGCCACAAAGACCTCTTTAGCCTTATCTAAATACTGTTCACTTACGTGTTTCACTGTAAACACCTGGTCCACACACCCCCTACCTTTCCTAAAGCCTCCTTGTTCATCTGCTATCCTATTCTCCGTCTTACTCTTAATTCTTTCAATTATAACTCTACCATACACTTTACCAGGTATACTCAACAGACTTATCCCCCTATAATTTTTGCACTCTCTTTTATCCCCTTTTCCTTTATACAAAGGAACTATGCATGCTCTCTGCCAATCCCTAGGTACCTTACCCTCTTCCATACATTTATTAAATAATTGCACCAACCACTCCAAACTATATCCCCACCTGCTTTTAACATTTCTATCTTTATCCCATCAATCCCGGCTGCCTTACCCC